TACAAAACTAACAATTATTTATTGTTTATCTCTATTAATTAATAAAATCATCTTTGTCAATCAAAAGAGGGTGAAAAAACTATTTAGTCTTCTATCACACAAAAAAATGATGGGCAATAATGTAATTTCACACGTCCAAATTTTACTGTTTTTTATTGAAGTCTTGCATACGGGTGATGTTAAAATATCTTCAATATTTAAAATTATAAAAATAAAAATAAAAAATAAAAACCAAAAACAAAAACCTCCCACTCCCCCCATGTTCTCTCTCTCTCCCTCTCTCCTTCTCATTTTTCTAAAAAAATGTGTTCATACACACTTTGTGTGTATGAACACAAATGCTAGTTTATATAATATATAGTAAATTTAATTAATTTATATGATATATAATAAAATATATAAATCCACTTACTCCGCTTAGGCGCTAGGTCCCAACCTACTGCCATACTAGCGCCTAATGTCTTTTAGAATTTTGTTGATAACATGAACGCACAACTAACAAAACATTATAAAACACACTTTGCCCCCTTTTTAATTGTACGTTCTTAGCACTCTTTTTCAATTTTCTAGTTCCAGGCTAACATCACCTAAAATTCTGCTTTGCTATTTTCTACGCAACTCTCTTACTTAATACTCCTCATGGCAACAATAATAATTTAGTCATGCATGTACGATAACAAAAATTTGATTTAGCTTTTGAGTTCACTTGTTAGTTTCTATCAAAGTTGCAGAGGCTGTGGTCGATGGAGGGAAACTTTCAAATGCGTTACGATAAGTTTATCATTTCATTCTCCTTTCCATCATAATTTCTTGGTAAATTTTTCATTCAGAAGAAGGAAATCTAACCAAAGTAGGTGCAAATGGTGAGGTTACTTGTGTGTTTTATGGATTGGACTCCATATGAGCTAAACATCTGGAAACTATTTCTACTTCGGCTAATAGGGATTTCGTGTTTGCACCATAATAGAGATTTTTACCACCTGCAAAAGTAGGGATAAAAACACTTAAAAATACTTGCAAGAGTACAAGGTTATCGTAGTATAGCAGCTCAAGCAAGGTTGTTTTCCGCAGGTATTGAATGAATCATTTATGTTAAAACCAAATCTTAATTAATTATTTGAAAACAAAGTTTAGAAAAAAATGATTTTATGACCTAAAATATTAAAAACGAATTTAATTAAAAACAATTAAATAAATTGGCAAAGTAATAAAAAAACAAAAGAAAATAGTTTTGAAAATAAATTTGAGCACTAGAGTTCCGCCGTCACCTTAACAATCCTACGTAATTCTTCTATTTACTTATGAATTACACATGCATATTTTGAAGGTTAGGTTTTCCTCAAGTATGCCCTATTTGAAACCTCCAACAGAGAACGTATATGTAACATGCAACCCGTCCGTGGTGTCCAAATCAAATGTGAACATGCAAAACTCATTAAGTTTTGTGAAATCCTTTTGAAAAACCATATAACCCTTAAGACGTGTCGTCCATCCTAAGAAGTTACACATATTAACCACAAGAAGCCTTAGTCAATTCCAAGGACAGCCCTCCGCCAAAATTACATCAAATTACTTTTCTACATACCCTAATGGTGGCCAATCATTAAGACAATTAGATAGTTTAAAGCACAGTGATTAATAATTCAAAACTTGCATGCATAATACATAAGCAAATTGAAAAGAAACTAAATATTCTTGCTAAGGCTCGTGGCCTTACCCTAACAAACGAAACTAGTTACGAATAATCATAAAACAAAATATTATTAAAAACATGGATAGAAATCATCTTGAAAAATAAACTTGAATCGTCAAAAGCTCTCTAAAACCAAAATGCTTGCGTTCTTCCCCCCTCTTTACCTAATGGCTAAAAAGCCTTATTTATACTACTACAAAATAAAATCCTTACTAGAAAAGGTCTTAGAATAATACTAGGAAACATAAAAAAATAATAAAACAGAAAATAAAAGGTTTCCTATTTAAACTAAAATTCGGACTTCTCAGAAAATTAGTCTTTTGACTAACCAAATCAACTCAGATTTGGTCCCAAAAGGTCTCTTTTGAAATCGGGAGACGTCCCCTACAAATCATCAGAAGGAATGTTCCTCAAAATATGCCATCTTGGCCTTCAAAATATACAAAACGTCCAGAAACATCAATCTGGGAAAGCTGTGGCCGGGCCTTTATTTCTTCACCACGGTCAAACAGCTAAGTAGAAAAATATGAAACTTTGATACAATCACCTTGAAAAACTCATGAACATCCTCCAATTAGAATTACTCCCACTAGTACAAAAACATGTTTGCGCCACGGAAACTTGAGCGACGCAGCAAATTTCGTCGCGTAAAGTATGTTTGCGCGACACTAACACACAAGACGTCGCGCAAGTGGTCTTTGCACGATGAAGGAGTACGTCATGCAAAACTGTTTTGCACGACGTAGTTGTACCTTCGTCGCACAAAACTGTTTTGCGCGACGCACTCCTTTGTCGCGTAAAGTACCGTCACACAAAGACCATTTGCGCGACGTCTTATGCGTCGCGCAAGAGTTTGCCTCCAAACCAAGCTTGTTTTACCGTTTTTTTTCCATCTTTGTGCGATGCAGGTTCACTACGTCGCGCAAAGCTGTTTTGCACGACGCCTAGCTTCGTCGCGCAAAGTCAACACGAAAATATACCTTTTTGTCTTTCTTTTCAATTTTCAATGTTCTAACACAAGTCAAAAACTCCATAGCTACCTTCCCCTCTTCCTCACCTGCAAACCTCCATAGTCGCCTGATCACACTCAGGTGATTTAAAACCTCTATGTTATTCATCCATTTTTTTTATATATATGATTGTATTGAAATTTTGGTTAATATTACCCAATATATTGAAAAATTTGATCTCTTTTGTTCTTATCATGCATATATGATTGAGGGTAAATACTCAGTTTGGTAAATACCCAATATATTGAAAATTTTGATCTCCTATTGATGATGGTAGTGTAGCACAAAGGGACTCCTTCTCTAATGTGAGGGTAAATACTCAGTTTAGTAATCCCCCTGTTGTTGCACCTGCACTAGAAACTCTAACGTATTATCTGAAGGCCAAATTAATGACTCTATCCTAAGAATTGAGAGGAAACACAAGGTATACTTGTTCAGTTAACTTTAGTATAATAGTATATTTTCTCAACCAATGACTTAACCAGTTGCACCTTGTAGAGTGAAGAAGCGAGAATCGCTAAAGAAGTTGAAGCTCATGAGTTGCGGATCCGCAAAAAGCTGGAGAAACAAGAAATTCTGAGGAGAAAGGTTCTATTTTTAAGTCCTAAACAATTGTTTCTGAAGCATAGCAATTAATATGCTGATATTTTGATTTTTCTGTTTATAGAATGAGGAAGGAAATGGAAAAACAAGAGTGAGAGACGAAAAGAAAAGAGAGGTTGATGCGTGAGAGGCAACGCAAGGAAGAGAGATTAAAACGTGAGCAAAAACATGAAATTGAACGAAGGGACAACTTTTCATTTTATAGCCTAATACAATCATACATGTCTTTTGTGAATCTACCAACAATGGAAATTAAAATGACATTTACTTCAAATCATCATAAATTAAATTGACTTGAAAAAGTCTTGAAAATTAACGTGATTGCAAATAATGGGCTCTTTTGAGTTTGCGTAACTCAATTAAACAACACAATAGCATGACATACTTAAGGCCCTGCAACACATAATGCACAGAAACAAATAAAACTAAGCAACCACTAAACAGCTAAAAGCTTATTCACAAAAGGCACAAATAATAATGGATATAAATCTACCCAGTCATAGCCTATGTGGGATTTAAGGGTATCAAAGTTTCTCGTCCTTTAGGCCTTCACATCTTCACCAACAAGAAAATCACACATATGACACATATTAGTGTCCCTTAAGAAAATCTACCTGTCGAATACCATTACATGAACAAACAATCTGAATCAAATGAAATGATCACTGGACTACTGATAAATCAAAACTGACATTATAAAATAGCTGTCTAGTTCGATATATGAAACAAGAAGGGTCGACAAATAGGACACTCTTTGGAAATTTATGAACAATCCTTTTATCTTTAAAATTTATAACATATCATATCATGCCCTCTATGAAGATTTATTGAATCTATTAATGGTACAAAGGAGTTTTTAATCCTCATGGATAGGAAATTTTTAAAATTACCATAAAAAAATAAAAGCAAAAGCAATATTTTAAGGAAGATTGTAAAGATCTAAAATTTCGGTCAAGAGTTTGGTTTTCATTTTAACCTATTTTCTATAGCTATATTATTTCCCCTGATCACATATGAACACCAATTTTTGAGCACCTTCAGATTCCTTATACTTGTTATTGTGTACCCTTGCCTGCGTGCTATGCCCTTTTTTGGTCATGTTGGAGTTTTTTGGGATTGAATTTGTAATTGATCTTTATTAATTTTATCTATTTTATTTAGCTTTAGTAATTATTGTGATTTAATTTATTTGTATGCACAATTTTTTGTACATCACGTACAAAATTGTTTTGTGTTGTACGAAATTAATACTACGTAACTTTGTACACTTTTTTCAAGAAAAGTTTAGTTTCCCGTTTGAGAATTAGTTGGATTTCGTGTATGGATGCGAAAGCATGACTGCGGTCAAATTAATTCTTGAGTTGTCCCATTTTATGGACAGTTTGGGAATGCATAGTTATGTGTTGTAGTTTGCGGTTCACGGATTAGGTTTCGATAGTGGAAATTTTGGTAACATTTCCTATTGTTCTTCGAGTACACGGTGGATATTATGTATCTACAGCGTGCACTTGAAGAATTGTAAGGAGATGCTGCCGAAATTAGCCCACGTCGAAATTTAATCCATTGGAATCGTAAATTACGACACATAACTGTGCATTTTTGAATGGGATATGGCCCTTACCGGAGGAATAAGGTGACAATACAGTAGTTGAAGTTGTTGTAACTCTTGTACTTTTATTGGGATTGCAGACAAAATGGACAGACAGTGGATACATAATCATAATAGATGTGATGTTGAGTACTTGGATGGAATAGATAAGTTCACTGAATTCGTAACTAGACACAACCCAGGTTCAACTCATATCCGATGTCCATGTAGAAGGTGTAACAATTCAATGTGGGAGACATTCGAAAATGTTCGATTTCATTTAGTAAGAAATGGGATGATGAAGGCTTATACTACTTGGTATCATCATGGAGAACGATTAGACCAAGCTTCATCTTCATACGTGACACAAGTGGAGACTGTTGAATCTAATGTGTATCCTAGTGAACAAGTTATGAATATCGTAAATGACGTTTATCCATACACCTCGAGCAACACCAATCAGGAAGGGGGAGATGACGGTCGTCTAACCATAGACAATGAGGAATTTAAAAACTATGAAAAACTATTGAAAAATGTTAAGCAAGAATTATATCCGGGTTGCGAGAACTTTTCGGTGCTCTCAGCAATTGTGGAGTTTATGCATGGAAAGATCAAGTTTCATTTGTCAAACAAGTGTTTTGATTACTTTTTGGGAGTTATCAAGAGGATGCTTCCAAAGGAGAATTGTTTACCTGAAGATAAAAAAAGTGCCCAAAAAGTGTTGAAGGGTCTCGGATTGGGGTATGAAAAAATTCACGCATGTGTAAATAATTGTATATTATTTTATAAGGAGAACAAACAGTTGGATAAATGCCCTATCTGCAATGAGCTGAGGTTTAAAATGACATCACAGAATAGAAAGACCAAGATTCCACAAAAGTAATGCGTTATCTTCCATTGAAGCCTATGTTGCAACGATTGTACATGTCGATGCATATGGCAACCGACATGAGATGGCATAAAGAAGGACGGGTAAATGACGATGTTATGAGGCATCCTGCAGATGGAGAGGCATGGAAAGAATTTGATCGGATGTACCCAGATTTTGCAGCTGACCCACGCAACGTCAGATTGGGACTTGACACCGACGAATTTAATCCGTTTGGGGTTTTAAACCAAAACCACAGCACTTGGCCGGTCGTCGTGTTTCCTTATAATATGCCGCCTTGGAAGTGCATGAAAAAAGAATACATGATGTTGACTCTATTAATGAGCAAAGATCTAGGAAAGTCCATTGATGTTTATTTGCGGCCGTTAGTTGATGAGTTAAAAGATTTATAGGAAAAAGATGTTCGTACATACGATAAGTATACTGGGCAGATGTTCACCATGCGAGCGGCAGTGATGTGGATAGTAAACAATTTTCCTGCGTATGCAATGGTTTCTGGGTGGATGACTAAGGGTTATTTGGCAAGTCCAATATGCAAGGAGAACATAACATCGTCTTGGCATGCGAGAAAAGTTTGTTATCTTGGTCATTGTAGATGGCTTCCTTGGGACAACGAGTGGCGTCAAAATGATAAAGCCTTCCACGGCACAAAAGAGACTCGACTAAGACCAATAGAATGGTCCGGAGATGAGATTTTGGATCAGTTAAATCGTTTGGAATTTGGTCATTTCGGCAAAGGGGTCAGTACGCCTAGACCAACTACACATCTGAACTGGATGCACAAGACTATGTTATTTGAGCTCCCATACTGGTCAAAGTTAAAACTGAGGCACAACTTAGATGTTATGCATATTGAGAAAAATGTGTTTGATACTTTGGTCGGGACAATTCTAGACACTGAAGGAAAAACGAAGGACGCGATTGAAGCTCATCTTGATTTGGAACGAATGGGCATTAGGTCATCCTTATGGATGTAGAGAGTCGGTGGTACGTTGAAGAAAGACCATCCTTTTTTTTACAGTTAAGACAAATGGAAAGAAAGAGTTTTTTCAACTTTATTTCTTCTGTAAAGTTTCCAGATGAGTATGCTTCCAATATCTCACGTTGCATGAACGTGAATGAGTGTAAATTTTCAAACATGAAGAGTCATGATTGTCATGTGATACTTCAACGCCTTCTTCCGGTTGGTATTCGACAATTATTGCCACTTGATATGGTGAAACCAATCATGTTGTTGTCGAGATTTTTTTCGTAGTTGACTGCAAGGTGTTTGCGAAAGTCGGATGTTAAACAATTGCAGGACGACATTGTGAACGTCTTATGCAAATTCGAACAGATATTTCCCCTAGCTTTCTTTACAAGTATGATTCACGTGATGATTCACTTGCCAGATGAGACATTGCTTGTCGGACCAATGAACTGTCCATGGATGTATCCAGTAGAAAGGTACTTAATTAAGCGTGTGTGTATATATATATATATATATATATATATATATATATATATAATAGATTCATGATCAATGAAAGCTTTGAATAATTTGTAGCATACCTTTTATTTGTGCAAATATCTTGGTGAGTTGAAAAAATGTGTTCGAAACAGGGCAAAGCCCGAAAGATCACTGGTGGAGGCATGGGTCACATATGAGTCACTAACTTTTTGTGCAATGTATCTTGAAGATGTTGAGACAGCTTTCAATCGTCCTCAACGCAATAATGACGGTGGTGTTAGAAAAGAGAAACTGTCTGTTTTTGCCCAAATTGCGCGACCATTTGGCGATCCTGTAAAAGGCGAATTGTTTACCAAAAATGACATGGAGGTAGCGCATTGGTTCATACTCAACAATTGTGAGAAGACTTTGCCATACCTTGAAGAGCATGAACAATTGATGAAGCGGGAACATCCTTCACATTTATATGCCAAGAAGCACCGTGACTTGTTTCCTTCGTGGTTTCATGCACATGTAAGTTGTATGTGGTTTGAATTAAGCATATTTTCCAACTTGTTCATGCCTTTCTTTAAATTTGGTTACACTAACATGTTAACTTTTTGTATATGTCATATTAGATGAACAAATTGAAGGAATTGAATTCACCCTCTTACGATGAAGAATTATATAACTTGGCGAGAGGACCGCTTCACGTTGAATTGTTCTCGGGTTGTCATGTGAACGGGATCAAGTTCTTGGGGGCAACACATGATGACAAGTTGTCTACTCAAAATAGTGGTGTTCATGTCCCAGGTGCAGGCAACAGTAAAGACATTAATTTTTATGGCAGACTAACTAGTGTAGTACAATTGCTTTACAAAGACAGGTGTCAAGTGATACTGTTTAAGTGCCTTTGGTTTGATACAAACCCACATAACCGAACGAGTGTTAAGCGAGATCATGGTTTACTATCAGTAAACAGTACGAGACATTGGTACGATGAAGACCCATACATTTTGGCAACTATGGCGAAACAAATATTCTATCTAGATGACCCTAAAGCCGTCAATGGTTGGAAAGTTGTTCAGAAGATTGAGCGAAGAGGGCTATATGATATTCCGGAACTAGATCATGATGACAACGACAACGTCGCTGACCAACAGTTATCATCTTCGATAGAAATTGGTGAAGAAACACTCCGAGATACTAATATTGTGCAAAAACCATTTGACATAGCTAGAGTACCCGAATTCGAAATATCAATTGACCTTGGTGATTTGCCTCAATACAATGCACCAAAAGAGGCAAACGAAGATGAGGACGAATGGGAATTCGGAAATGATAGTAGTGAGGATAGCGAGAGTTATTATTGTAGTTCGGATGAGGATTAATATAAACTTGTAAAGGAAAAAGCAGGAGGCTGAGGGTTTAACATCGCTTCTCATCTACCCACACTAATATTCCCAACAAATCGTCTGATCATCTCCATTCTATAAAGATAAAGATATCATGTAAGTTTTATGTTTTATGTTAGTCTCATGGAAGGTTGTGATGTCTTTTCATTTGAGTTGTTTTTATTATATCTTTGATTACCTACTACCAAAGGTCCATTTACCTTTCTGTTGGAATTATTGAAATTTTTGGATGACCTCTTTGCAGGTTGTGGCCCAAACCATCCGGTCATGCTTTGAAGGTATGTGTTTTCTGTTGTCATTGTTAAGTGTTAACATAATTTGTTCTTTTCTATTTTTTTTGTCCGACTACCAACATTTGTGCTGAGATCCTGTGAGTCTTATGTGCATTCATCTTTGACTCAGCCTCAAATGATGGTGGTCTCAGATGTGGATGATGTATTTGTTCCATTACCATATGATCTTCTTGTTAATCTATCTGAATCAAGAAGCGTAGTGGAGTCTATGTTTCAAGACAACGTGAATGTGGAGTCTGCTTTTGGTCCAGCTCTTAAAGCCTTGCTTATGCTTATGGAGTGTGAGCTTCTTCACAAATAGCAATTTTAATTTTACCTTTGGATAAAATTTATCACCAATTATAAAAGCAATGTGTTAAGTTATGTATTCCTTGAGTAATTGACTATTAAGTACTTCATTATGCAGTTCCAAGAGTCTGGTTGTGCATTTACTTTGCAATAACTTATGTCTACGTGTGTGCTTTTGCAGACCAACCTTGGAGGAAAATTGTTAATTTTTCAAAACACACTGCCATCTCTTGGTGTTGGTCGCTTAAAGTTGGAGATGATCTTCGTGTCTATGGCTCTAATAAAGAGCATCTACTAAGACTACCAGGGGATCCTTTCTACAAGCAGATGGCTGCGGAATTTACCAAGTTCCAGATATGGGTGGATGTGTATGCCTTCAGTGACAAGTACACAGATATAGCTTCATTAGGTACATGTTTAAAGTTTAATCATATTCTGTTTCACTTTCATAGAACCAAATATCAAGATGATGTTGACAGATAGTAGGATCTTCTGATGATACTTCTCTACATTAATATGTTGAGAACTCTTATATTATCCACCAATTTTGTAGTTGTTGCCCTTCTGGGGAAATATGCTTTAACCTGGTTTTCTCCAATTTATTGCATTAACTGTTCTCCTAGAATATTGTAGTGTTTCTTCCCTGTAGTGAACATTTTTGAAGAAAGAATTTGAATTTACATATTTGAAACTTTTACGGTCTTGTTTGTAGTACTTATTTGAATTTACATATGTTCGTCAAGTGATATATGGTGATGATCGATTGCTTGTTGTGCAGTCTGAAGATACTGATGAAGAATATTTTCCCTTTCTTTTTCCTTTAAATAACTAGATTGAAACAACGCCGTAGTGACGGAATTTAAAACAGTGAGTTGAAGATTTAACATTTCTGAAACCCGCAGAGGTGTGTGACGCTGTCTTCTGTCGGATAATCAGTTGCTGAGAGAAGCCATGACCAGAGGTTGCAGCATCAAAGCCATCTGGATCCTCAACAGTCTTGACGCCGTCGTTTTCTCCAAGTCCTCTCCAAACACATTCTCACGCTACCCTCTCTCCATATCTATAATGGTCTGATGGAAAAATTGGGGGAAAATGTTACAGAATTTGTAAAAATTGGGAATTATTATTTTTCTATTGTGATTGAAGGTTTCACTGATTGGTTTGTGTGAAATTGGTTTTCTGTTTCCAATTTGGAAGTGGGGGTTCTTCAATTTATGTTTTTTTCCCTGTTGTTTATCCTCCTTACTGTGTTTTGAGATTTTTGGATGACTGATGTATCAAAATCAAGGATGGGAGTTGTGATGTTTGCTGGAGCAATGTCAAAATTTAAACTTTTATGTTGATTATGTGTTTGTGAAATTTCTGCTCCAATTAAAGTTGCCTACTTTTGTCATTGTTTTCACTATACGAGAACGTTTTGGTGTGAATTTCATCTGTACTTGCAAACTTATTGATAAGATGTTTGTTATGAAGCATGTGCAATCAAGAGTGCGGTGCCTTGCTTTTCCAAATCTTGTGGGGTTTAAGTAATTCGTTATGTGCACTTGAAGAATAAAAAACTGGTAGCTAGAGTAGAGAGCCGGAGTAGAAAGAGAGAAGGGTGTGAGATATGGAACCAGTGTGGATTATTTTTTTAGTTGTTTTATTATGTACTATTGGATATCATCTTGGTCAGAGCTCGCTAATTTATCGAAAACCATTGCTGGCTAAACCAATGGTGATGGATGTCTATCAAGAATATATACTTGTCACATATCACCCATTTGATGTACACATATTCCATGTCAAGTTATTTGGTGAATTCACTACTCCAAATTTACAGGTAATGGAATGTTTGCTAGCTTTTTTTGTAATGATTCTAATTTTATAGAATATGCTACTATTTAGAGATAGTTGAGCACTTGTGATTTCATTTGCACGCTAAATGAGAATAATTTAGTGAAAATTATTATTCATATGTTTTAAGTGATAAAATGACAAACAACTTTCTACAATACGAACTCTCAATTATGACTGCAAAGAGCCATCCTGCAGCAATGCGTTTTGTAACTGATCAGCTTCCAAAAGAGGGCATTTCAAACAATCACATTTCTTATTTGTCAGTGTGTAATGAATTTACATATTTTTTAATTGCTTTTTAATTATATGAGTCGAGCTTGAGCGAGCTTAAAATGTACAAGCTTGGTACATAACTTGAGTCGTTTTGAGTATACAATAAATAGCTTAAGTTAACTTGGTAGATAACTTGAGCTTTTTTGCATTACGCCCGTGTACCTACGTCGCACAAGTTTTTTTTTTTTCTTTCATTACCTTTTTATTTCTTAAGTAAGATGTGTTAGGCTCGACTCTTGTAGATGACCAATTGGAACTTTTTCACGTCATCAAAATGTTACTCTTTCAAGTAGCATCATCTCAAATCTTAGCCTCTCCTCTATTTCCTCCCTCAAGAGGTTCTTATTCCATACCTTTGTTTGACCGGCCTTCACAAACCTCCTAATATTCCACTCCAATCACCAAACAGTATTACTATAATAACGAAAACTTGAATCGGA